TAAATCGGCATTGGGTGCTGGAAGCTCTGGGCTGAGTCCACATACAGAGTCCACCCACTCCTTTTCCACTCATGCCCTTTCTCTCTTTTCAATAAGAAAAATCTGCCTTTTCAATAAGAAACATGGAACCCAGAAGCTCAGCTAGCAAGCAAGGGCCAGCAGCTGGGTAGGGGTGGGTCCTGGGGGAGAAGAATGGGCTCACCTGACTGTCTCCCTGTCCAGGCTCAATGACTAAGCAGCCCTGGCCAGAGGGATACTGTAGCATAAGCTGATTTTAAAAGCACACAGATGGACCGGGATGCTATTTAAAACACCATTTGTAGGAAATCTTCTTTTGGAAATACCTTAGCACTGCACATTTTGATAGAATGCTGTCCTCCCTGGCTTTATCCCTGGTGCTCATTCTGCAGGGAAGATATTCCTGAGAATTGAATTTAGCTTTCTGCTCTTCAGAATCATCCTCCTCAACTTTCATATTGAATGCATTCTCTTTTGCCTGCTCTGCCCACTCTTGGCTAAATTTCTCTCCCCAGGAGCCAACAAGAAACAGGGTTTTGGTTTTTGTTTTAGAGAATCAGTCTTGCCCAAATAAAGGGAGCTGGGACAGAGGAAAAGCCCTTTCTTTCCCCATTAGAAATCCATCCTCCTGGTACTCAGGCAGGAAAATGGAAAGCTGGCCAATGAGGCATTGCCCTGCTCCCCAAGCTCCCCCCCTACACTACTCGTGTGGTAGGCAGCCAGCAGGCCTTCCCCATCCTACCCTGCAAGGGTGTCCTCTGCTGCCCCTTCATTAGTGGGTGTCCCCCAGATATCTGTGTTTAATGTGCAGATTCTGTACCGCTCGTGGTGCGTCCGTGCGGCTCTCCAGCCTGTTGGGGTTGAAATAGTTGAGTAAACTGTGCCAAATAGATTTGTCAAGTCTGCCACAGTTTGATTTGATGCCATGAGGGGGGAGGCGGGGTGAGGAGGGGACCTGGGGCAGTGTGGGGAGGTTTCCTCCACGCTGGTACTACCACTGAGTTTCTCTTTGTGGCCTCTAGATGCTGGGCACATTGCCAAGCTAACTGGTGCTAAGTGGTGGGCTCGAAAGTGAAATTCAGACAGCAGGACCTAAGGAAAAAGCAGAGCAGGGAGGAAGGCAGCAGGCTGCTCAGCTCTGGGGTGAAGGAAACTGTTGGCAATTGCCTTCCCAGCACACAGATAGGGAGGAGGGGATTGGGACGTTTGGGGCAGAAATTTGGAACTATATTTTTAATTCCCTGGTCACTGTCAACACCAATGCAGCATATCAAAGACCAGGGAATTGGGGAAATCAGAGAAAAACAAGATTAGCGAGCACTCAAGGTGACAGGGGATGACCGTGCTATTTCCTTGCAAAATATGATTTGCAATTTGGACCCAAGCTGGGCAAGGCAAGGTCTGAGCCTACAGGGGAATGACTTTCTTCTTGCTGCTAGGTAGTGAGGAAGACTAAGGAATTCTTTTCCAGCATCCCCTGCCAGTGAGCAGCCTTCTCTTGGTTTCTGTCTATCCGATAGGTATTCTTGAAGTTGCCAATGAGCGAGTCAACTTGTTTTGGGGTGACTATGAGCATCCTCCTGGCAAAACCCAGCTTGGTTATGCAGGCCACATGCACAGCACATTCCTAAATTTTTATCCAGTTCCACATGGAACCTATGATTTTCACATAGGGCGGGCCCTCCTTATGCATATTTATGGTGTAACCACAAGGCGGAGAGCTCAGCCGCCTGATGGAACCCATATCCAACCCACGTGCTCCCTTAGATTATACAAATTGCTTCACATACATTTCTTGAGAAACCACAGCAGAAACTACTGCTTTGGGTTTTACCAACTATATGACTAACATCCCAGACACAGACAGTATAGTCAATCTAGTAATGGAAGTTTGTGTATATGTATGTGATTTTAGTCACAGTTACATACTAAGAGGGGCACATGGAGAATAAGAGCAGAGCTCAAAGGCATGAGGCCTTGGTCATGGTCCTGCCCTCCTCTGAGATTCCCACCCCCATGACTCTGCATCGGAGGGTGAATCTGTGCCTGAGGAGTGGAGCCATAATTGGTGTCAGAACAATGGGACAGAGGTCACTGCCCTTACATGTCTAAGCAAAAGCCCTTGTCTTCAATTTTCTCTTATTTTGGTAGATGTGAGCCTCTCCCTTGTTGACATAGTTCTGGTTACTTTGCTCTTAGTCATGGTGTTGCTGGTCTAGTCTCACCTATTTGAAAGTTAGGCACAAAAGAGAAATTCTGTAACACACTGATAACCAGATTGGGGACAGAAGGATGAAGACAGGGATAAGGTAAAAGTTAGGGCCTCCAGTGTTCAGAATTACCCTATGATAAAGTGGCAGGAATGCATTAAGCACATCATATTGACATAACAACCTCCAAGAGGCTCAGGCATCCTTCAGGCACTGACTTATTTGCTTCCAAATTTCACAGCATTCCACCTATTGAATTGAAGCTCTCAGAGACTGAGACTCACCCTAGAGACAGGGGAATCATGGAGTTCCCGTGAAAGGCTTTAATTTGCAGACAGGTGATCTCTCTGCCCTGGCCTTGCTTCTCATCTTGTACCTGGAGGGGAACTGGCTTCCTAGCTGTTCAGTCTAAGGGCTGAGAGGCGTGCATGTTCCTGGAGAGATGGGGTTTTGTGGAGGTCTGAAGGAAAGTCATGATTACACAGCCTGGCTTAGAACACAAGGCTCAGCATTTTGGAGTTTGGGCTCCATCGCAGAATCAGGAGAATGGAGAGTTGAAATCAAGTTGCTTTTTGTTTGATTTGGCCACATCCCACCAAAACAAATAATCACCCCAACTTCAAACATTCTCTGTCCAATATTTATTTTCTAAATGAAAACAAATCATTTTTTTTTTTAAATCAGAGACTTGGAAGGAGAGAGTAGTATCAGAAGACCAGACCCCCAATTCAGTTGGCGAAGAGTTAGAAGCACATGGCGTCTATTTTCAGATCTTCTCAGATAGTGCAGTATGCGACCTTGGAGATCTCTCTTCCCAGTTCCATGCCTCAGTGTTTCCATTCACTCAAATGGAATGGTGCCACAGACACGGTTGGCAGGGCACCTGGAGATCTGTAGATGGAAGGCTATCTGCAGATAGAGTCAATGTATTAGACCCACACAGCTCTTCTGGAGCAGAAGCAAGTTGTCAATTTAAAAAGCAACAGGGCCCCATGGGATATTTATCTGCCTCTTTTAAAATCACAGTCCTGGAAGGGTCCATGATAAGTCATCCAGACCTCTCCCTGCATCTAATGGTCCTGCACTTGAGCTGCCCCAGATAAATGTCATCCCTCCTAGCCTCATTCTTTTGGTAGGGATGTAATTTTCCTCCAATTAATAATTTGAGGGTTTGTTTGTTTATACCTCCTGGTGGATGCCTTACTTGCTCTTAGTCCTGTGATAATCACTTTGTGGTATCAAGATGAGGACAATGTCCCAAACCACGAGGTAGTAAAGAACATGAACCTTTAGAAGTCATGGGTGGGGCTGCTTCATCTACACTATGGTTATGTGTGCTCTAAAGAGGGGCGATGTCCTTTCCAAGTTCAAGTCCCTCAGTTTATCTGCCCCCTCCATTATAACTGAGATGAATCCAGTGCCCTAGGTAATTAAATTTGTCCCTTATCCATTTGCCACTGGATGAGCTCAGACCTTTAGCCTCTGCACTTATGAAGCTCAAGGGAAAATTTCATTATACATGCGCTCGAACCTTTTCTCTATCAGGCTCCCGTGGCAGGCTGCACCTAACTCCCATGGGTGCTGAACTGTCTCCAGGAGCTGAGGCCAGCATCCCTGGTGCTGACAGTCGTGATGCTGAATTCCCCATGCACCCAGGCTGAGATTGTACACAGGGGCTGCTGGGAAAGAACTCATAAAGGGGGTGTGCAGGGGGGCTGTGATTTTGTTTGGACTGAGAACACGCTTTCCTTGACCAACCCCTGAGAAGCACTGAAGTAAGAGCCTCATCTAGTCCGTTGTCACACTCTTTACTGTCACCATTCCCTTCTGGGTGGTTTGCTGAGACTGTACCTGGGAAGAAGCTTGATGGTGGCCAAGACACTCCGCAACTTCATTCCCTGTGATGGTGCCTCCCTGTGCCCACTCGGTAGTTAGAGTCACCTTCTTAGAAAACGAATCTCCTGGGGCTGGGGATGTGGCTCAAGCGGTAGCGCGCTCGTCTGGCATGCGTGCGGCCCGGGTTCGATCCTCAGCACCACATACAAACAAAGATGTTGTGTCCGCCGAAAAAAAAAAATAAAAATAAATAAATAAATTCTCTTTCTCTCTCTCTCTCTCTCCCCTCTCTCCCCTCTCTCCCTCTCCTCTCTCTTTAAAAAAAAAAAGAAAGAAAGAAAACGAATCTCCTAATATCAATGTTAGGAGCTTTTCAGGTATGGAGGATCCATCCCACCCAGCTAGAATGTCTGTGTTTCTCCATCTCTCCTGGATGACGTTGGTCATTCCCTGCCAGCTCGCTCATCATTTGACAGGGCTCTCTTCCCCAGCCCATCTCTTCTCCAGCCCCAGTCCCTGAGCTGCTCTCCTCTCCTGTCCTCCCTGATGTTTCCCTGTCTCAAATCCTGAAACCCTAATCCTGTTAGTAGGCTGTGTTCCAGGGCTCAGCGTCTCCATGGGGGTAACATAATCCGGCATTAAATCTAGCGGTCCCACAAGGCACACACAGATGGGGATGCGTGCATCCCACCCACCTCCACCCTCCACCCACCCCCAGGAAGAAACCGCCCCGCTCCTCTGTCTCCTCTGTCACAGCAGGAAAACTGCCTGATGACAAAAACAGCCCTAAAGTAAATGGGGAGGAGAGCCAAGGTCATCGTAGTCATAAATGAGCATTTGGTTGTTAGGGAGCATCTTTGCCCTGCCCCCATCCCGACCCTCCCGTAGACTAACTCATATATACATATATATATCATGTATACACACACACACACACAGACACACACCCCTTCTGATTCTGTGTCTGGCTGAATTCCCATATCCACTAGAATGAAGGCAGCTTTAAAAAAAAAATTCTATAGTCTTAAAGGGGGAGTTTTCAGAGAGAAATGTCAAGACCATGATTTACAAACAGGGAGGAGTGGGAGAGCCCATTACCTTAACATCATTTTTCCCCAGTGCAATGGCCCCCTACTCCCACCTTGCCGGTTAGGTGCAACAAATTAATTAAATAGGATGGCATCCATTGATTAACAATTTATTTTTATGTGTAGACCCATGGCTGGTTTTAGAGGAAATTTGAGGGCGGGTGGGGGAGGGGAGGACAGGCTCTGGGTCTTGGCATCGGGATGAGTTGGTGCAATTGTTTCTGAGACTCATGTTCAGAACATGACAGTGGTTTCCCCAGTCTCTGCCCACCGTTCCCGCCACCCTTCTTTTCTGCCTGCTTTGTTCTCCTCCTCCTTGAATGTCTGTGCCAAGTAGATTGAAAAGGAGAACTTTGGATGTAATGAAACATTTATTAGTGGAGAGAAATATTTATTTTTTTAAAAAGCAGAAGAACATCTCATGCACAATTTCTACCTCAGGGCTCCTGCACTGTGTTGTCTTTGAAAAATTTTCCTGCTTTCTTTGCAGTCCCTGGGGCTGGAGGAATTCAGATATTTACAGCAAGATTGAGGTGAACAGTAGATAACACCATAGTAGTAGTGAAGGGACAAGGCATGTGCACATGGAATTCCAAAGCCCAACTCAGATTGGATGCAGGAGACGTAAGGAGGGACTGCATCTGTCCACTGAAGGCGCCACTTCACTTAGGAAGGTTAAATAGGCAGGTTAATGCCGGAGTCTTCATGGGGCCTCTGCTCCAAGGAGCTCAGAGAATTTGCCAGAATCTTCTCATTGGCCTCTGAGGCAAGATTGATGACATGTAGCATCTTTACTTTGCAGGGTACTTGGATGCTAATAGCAAAGATGAACAGTATATAGGAAAGGGAATTAGGTGAGGCAGAAAAGCCCCCTGCCTAGAACCTCAGGAGGCAGCAGGACACAGTGTGCACTGTTCTCAGTGGGGCCAAAGTCTGTGTGTGCTGTTCACACAAGATTTAAGGAAGGGGTCAGCAGAAGAGGGTTCGCTATGACTAAAAGTGGGTGAGAAACAGGGAAAAGATGACCTTAAAAAACATCAGTGGTGCTTTCTAGCTAGATGTTTCTTATTATATATATAAGAAAAAAAAGTTTTTATTTTACACTGTTTCAAATAGTCCATGTAGTTCCTGGCTCGTGGATGCATGGGCCTAGTCAGCACATGCTGATTATCTTTCCTAGGGGGTGTAGATAACAACCCAACTAGGGTGTTGGAGAGCAGCCGATTTACTTGGCAGATACCCCCTTCCCCAGAGGTGCAAATCAGAAAATCCATGAAATGCTGCTGGTTTTCAGATTCTGTCTTACCGAAAATAAAACAAAGGTCTCAAGAATCAATTGGAAAATGTTGGATTATGTTCAGAATTCAGTGAGGCACCAAGTGGATTATCCAGACCACTTTGTGCCCTGAATTGTTTTTTCAACTTGGTTTGCAGAGATGCACTTAAAGAAATCTTTATGCCCAACATAACTTCTTCTTTTTAGCAAATATACCCTTATGCATATTAAATAATTACAACATAATTAATCCTATCCCCAGAATCCTATCCCTAGGGTCACCTTGAACATACTCCTGATTGTCCAACAACCAGAGTAGTATTTTTCTTTAAAATGAATAGAAATATGTATACTCTCTGACTTCCAGCTTTTAAAACAGATGTTTAAATTTGATCATTGTTTTTGATATATGCCTGTCTAGAGATAATATATATATATATGGATGCTCTGGGTATAATATATATAGATCCACTGATTTTTCTCAGCATTCTGAACATGTCACTGCAAAGTGATGACCTAAAAATTTGGAGCCTCAAGATGGGACTTGGGAATCAATGGCTTTCAGAACCTGAACTCTTCCAGTTGGCCAAGAACCCATTTGTTGGGTGTTGTGCAGGCATTCAAGCCAGCTGAAAGTGATGGTAAACTCTAGTGTTCATCTGTGGGCCTATTATCAACATTTTCCTGCAAGAGAAACCAAGGTATCAAAGGTTTATTGATTTTCCTGTAGTGATTCAGTGAGTCGGCAGAGAATAGGAAATAAAACCAATTTCCTGGCATCATTTCCCATGCACACAACCCCTTACCTTGCAGTGCCTAGACTGGAAGCCAAGAATCCATCTCAGGGAATTTGATCAGAAAACATAGGAAGGGTGATTCTAAAACCACAGAAGCATTGAGAAAGTCATAAAGATGTATAATATATGATAGCATTTATCAGCTATAAATAGGGGCGCTACAGGGAGAAAAATAGAGACCTTGTAAATCCATTGGGTCAGGAGAAATAGAAACTGCTTAATATTTCATTAAAAATGGATTCTCATAAATTGCACTTGGATATCTTTGGGCAAAAGACAGTAGGTAAGGCCTAAGGCATTGTTATTCATTGCTCTTGGTTATTAATAATTTGAACTGTTATTGAACCAACACATCAACAAGGTGTATTCTCCCTGTGAATGGGGCACTCACCACTGGTTGTGGGCACTATTTGAAGTGTATTAAAAAAAAAATCCACTGCACTTGTCCACAAAATCTCTTTAACTATAAGGGACAGTGAATGCCTTTTCACAAAGAGGATACCCTTGGAGGAGTTCATGAAAACTCTTGTGAAGAAAGGCTTAGAATCTAGCAGCCAGAAAGAACCTGACAAATCAATGCACGCAATCCCCCCATTTAGTAAAGGAGGAAATTGGGGGCCCCCAAGGAAGTAGAGATATTTGCCTACCTTCTGAGCTAATTAGTAACAGAATTTGGCTCCTTCTCTTGATTCAGCAGTGGGTCTTATTTTATTTTGTCCTCTTTACCACACTCAGAGTGAGAGATGTGTACAAATTTTAAGGAAGATGATAGGTGCTGAGGATATAGCTTAGTGGTAGAGTGCCTGCCGAGCATGCATGAGGCCCTGGGTTCAAACCCCAGTACTGTTGAGGCAGTGGGGATGATGCTCCTTCAGCAAAGAACCTGTAGCATAGGGAACATATACAAGCACAAAGTCAAGAACAAACAAGAGACCAGTAAGGAACCAGACTCACAAACATGAAGGATAATTTGAAGCCAAGTTGAAAAGAATCTTCATGTGATTCCAGGGGTGGGAGAAGAGAGAGCAAAAGAATAGCAGAATAAAGTTCCATGTAAGCCACAGGCAGACGGCCTAGAGATCAACCATATGCTTGCCTCCTTCCTGACTGATGCCACTGTAGGTGGAGATTGAGGGGATTCACCCAAAACCTGGGCCCCATGCATCCATGAGAAGATCAGCTCCTCCCCAGCAGGTGTACCCCCATGTTCACATGCAACCCCATTGGCACCCACACTACTTTACCAAAGATGGTCCAGATACCCAGTCATTCCCTTACGAAGGGAGAAAAGGAAGGGTTTCTTGGCGTTGTTTGCCAAAGCTGAGGAATGAAGGGGTCAGATCAGATAAAACTGGATATTAAAAACTCATAAGACATGCTGTGTTTCTAAACCGTACCAGCATGGTGTGTATGCTGTGGATTGGTGGCTGTGTGCAAGTTCAAATCCACTCAGCTCTCCAAGGATATATTCACGTGGCAAATAAAGCTATTTCCCCCACATGAACTCCTTAGAATCTCCTGCTGGAAGCCTCATGCCCATCACCATCACCGTCCACAGGGAGCATCCAGAGCCCCCCCCAGCCCCCCACTGCTCACAGCACCCGTCTGAAATCAGCAAAGAGCTGCATTTGCTTCTTTCTTGCCAAAGCAAAGCAAAACAAACAAAAGCCTCTGTCTCATGATGAATTCTGGGAGAACTGATTCATCTCTTTTCCTTGGAATCCGTTCCTCCATCCTTTTCCTCAAAGCCGGGAACCCTTTGTCAGCATAAAGTCAGCAAGAAACAAGAATATGGCAAGGCCAGGACTTTCCTTGGTGCTGGTGCTCCTCTTGGTTTTGGGTCCCTCTCTGAGATTAGGGTTGCAGAGAGTCAAGGACCTCTCCCCTCTAGCCTTCTCCCAGATATACAGCTCCACCCCTTTTCTCTATTTCCTTGGCTCTTCCTTCTTCTCTCTCCTCCTAATCCTCAATCACTGTACAGGAAGCAGCAAAATTGAACCTGGGTGAGAGGAACAGTCACCAGTTCTTCCTCTGTGCTCCCTGATGTCATCAAGACAGCAGAAGGGGGAACAGACAGCCTTAGGATCCAGAGTGCGAGGACTCCCCCTCCCCCCAGGGAGCAGAGGGAGCAGCAAGTTCCGTGGGCTGAGTGGGAACCCCTCAGATTTGGTGGACTTAGCACCAAGAACTATAGTTTAAACAGAAGTAGGCTGATGCCCTTCTTTATTTTTCTGGAATAAGCCAATTCCTTTCATTTGGTTGCAAATATGCCATCGTGGTGTATTATTAAGTACAAGCTTGCAAATGGTGGGGTTCGCAGGACATGGAGAAGAAAGGACTATGTTGGTAACTGCCTGTAAATATCTGTGCTTTCCTTTGCTGTCACTCTAAGCCGTTCTATGATGGGATTATAAACTCACGCTGGGGCCACATCACTGGACAGCGATTTTACTTCCATTCAGCCCATGATTGGGAACCTGAAAGGCTCCATGACTCCTAGCTACCAGCATGAATACTGCAAATTTATTTAAAGACATAAAAGTCAACCTAAGAAAAAGCTTAAAAGCTTTGGATTCAGACAAGCATCTCTGAGCCTAGGTTTCCTCATCAATAAAGTGGAGATTATAATACTTTGCTTCCTGGAGTGTTGCAGACACAACTGTGTTTACACAGTGCCTGGCTCAAAAGCATTCAAATATACTAGTTTCCCATTCCTCTGTCCCAGCCCTGTTGATACCCCAAATTCCTAGCATGTCCTGGTCATCATAAGCTGACATATCTAGTTCCCCTGCACAGGAGAAGGTGCTTCTTGAGGCAGAGTTAGCCATAAGCAAATTTACAGGGTCCCTGGGTTATTACAGTTGTGACAGGCATGATTTAGAAACGATGTTTGGTTAGCTGGTTTTTCCCTTCCCCCTTATCCAGGGAAACCAAGAGAAACTCACATATACTTGCTCCAGTTACTTTTTTTTTTTAAATGGAGAGCTCAAAAAAAGCATAAGGTCCATATGGCAGTTATTGATTTGGGCCATCTGGTAAGCCAGGACTTGAGTCTACCATGTTGGAGCAGAAACTACTCCAAAAAGCCTTTCCTCCCATAAGAGACCTATTGGTCAGCTGGGGACAGGGATGGATTTCATGACAGGGTAGGGACTAGAGTAAGAGGAAGTGGAGCAGGACTCTGAGGGACCACCTGCAACCATGACCTACAACAAAGACCAGAGAGATGCAAGAAAGTATTGACTAACCCAGGGGCCTTGGCAGTAGACGGGGCCCCCTCACCCACTCTCTCATGCATGGAGTGGGAAAGTGTCTAAGTAACCATCAAAAAAAAAATGTGAAACACTTTATAATTACAAAATTCCCTGCAAATATTCCTGTAAGCCTACACCAGGAGGAAGAGGGATTGTCAAATCCAAGCTGGAGAGTGATTTTAATAGATACTCTAATTTTTTCTTTCTTAGCTTCTGAAGTATTTTCTTTGACAAGTTTCTTCCTCTGCTTGCTTTCAGCCCAGAGACAAAATTTCCCTTCCCTCTGAATGTTTTTTATGAAGACTATTTATTGTTTTCCAAGTTGGAGCAGTGTGAGAAATTAATTTTTTTTTCATGGTGTTGTAAAATAAACCCACAACAAGAAACCTCGTGGTTACTTTAGACTTGAGGGAAATAAAATTCAACAGAACTTTTCAACCCACTTCAAAGCCTGTTCAGGTGGCTACATTACCAACCAGGATCTCAGGAACTTACTTTTCATGTCTTCTGTTGCAGGTATTCCAAGCCAACAATGATGCCACCGAGGTCGTTCTGAACAAACTCCACATGCCGCTGTTAACGAGGTTCATCCGGATCCGTCCACAGACCTGGCACTCAGGCATTGCGCTCCGCCTGGAGCTCTTCGGCTGTCGGGTCACAGGTGAGGTGGGGACTCCATCACTGACCAATCCTGGGTTCTGCTCCCTGTTTCAGAAACTGAATGATTGTACCACAAGACTGTCCTGGAGGCTTGGTTTGAGGACTCAAGTCCTATAAGCCTTCATCTTTTTATTCATTCACTCATCCAATATATTTTTCTTAAGCATCTACTATTTCTACTAGCTAAAACTCATGGAAAGTTAACTAGGAGTCAGGTTTAATTCTCATCTAAAATAGATTATCTTTTATCATCCTTATAACGATTTTGTGAGGTAGATGTTATTATTATCGCTTTATAGATAAGGAAACCAATAGGTAAAGAGCTTGATCACTCAACCAGTAAATGGTAGAGCCAGGGTTTGACTCTGGGCAATTTGAATCCAAAGACTCTGCTCTCAAATAGTTCTCTGTGCGGCCTCAAGCCGGGGCCAAGAGCTACACAACCCAGTTCTGAGTGTCTATTTTGGATGAGTTAGGCAGATATTAATAAGCAAGCAAACCTAAGAATAGGTATAAAATTAAAACCAGGATAAACTATGTTTTCCAAATTATGTTTGGAAACATGGGCTCATGGGATTTGACCCAGCCCAGGGGGCCTAGGAGGACTTCCTTCAGGAGTTGATGATCGAGGTCAGAGGGCAGAAGGCAGACAGGCATTACCTGGTGAAGAAGGGAGGGTAGGTATACCTGGCAGTGGTCACAGGTTGCTCAGTGGCACTGTGTGGTGAGAAGGACCAAAAGAGAAAGGGGGGCATGGAGGGTATATGTGAAGGAAAAACAGGTGCTCACATGGGCTAAAACTCAAGCGGTACAGATTGGAAAAAGCCAGAGTGGTATCTGGATGTCTTTGAGAAGTTGATACAGTGGTCTGGGTAAAACACAGTGGTGGCTAGACCAGCACCAGCCATCTAGCGCCAGTCCAGTCCTCTTGTCTTATGGACTCCACTCAAAGCAGGCAAGCTGCCTCTTTGACCTGGAAGGGTCTTCAGTGTACATCCACCCACCTGCCTGCCCCCAGTTCATTCCAGCTCTGACAGGGAGTGTTCCAGGGTGTGGCCCTGTGTGGGCACTCTGGTTTAAACTCCTTGCATTAGTACAGCCTCTGTGTCATTCCTGTCCCTTCCTTGTACATTATCTTGCCCACTCTTCCTAACAGCCCTATGAGGTGAGTGGGGCAGGTGCTGATGTAGAAACCAAGGCTCAAAGAAACAAACAGCTTGACCCAAACCACCCAACAACAGGTGGTTCCTATACCCACATTTTCTCGATACAAATTCTCTGCTCTTAACACCTTTACAGAAAGATCTGGCTTCCCTCTCCTGGAAGCTGTTCACCCTGATCCTGCACAGAAAGCTGTTTTCTGATCCTTTGTGTTGGTGTTCCAGGCCAGCAAAGGCTAATTAGCAAGGATTTAGTGACGGTTCACTTTCTGGAAGATTGAAAAGAGAGAACCAGTGAATTTGGAAAAGGGAGGCAACTTGAAGGATCTTTTCTTTTTTAATCTATTCAGTTTTCATAAGTTTAATATACATTTGCTGTTGCCCTGCCCAACACCACGATTCATATATTTTGCACTCACTCATTCACTCCACAAAGGCTGTGTGTGAGGCCACACACTGGGTACTACAGTTAGAGAAGTGAGGAAAACAAATGAGGTCTCTAGCATCATGGAGCTTTAGGGTTAGTAGACAGGATAGAAAAAATGCAAGTATGTGCCATTATAAGCAAAGATGTATATGGGGGAAAGAACGGGATGTTCTGAGAAGGAACAACTGAGAAGACTTAATTTACATGCATTCAAAGATTGGGGATGGCCTTTCTGAGAATGTGACACTCATGCATTGGGGTGAGTAAAGGGTACCTAGTGAAGACTGAGGGGAAGGGCTCTGGGGTGGTAGGAACAGCCTCAGGCAGTAGAGAGCTTCCATACACATGTGGAAGTAAAGATCTGATACTGACCCCAGGAATGTTTCCATCTAGTCAGCAAAATGATCATCTAAGAAAGAAGAAGTCAATGTTTTGCTGATCTCCCCTGTGCTCATGGTGCTTGAGAGAGTCAGAAGGGACTAGTGGCTTGGAAAGGATGCATAGACATGCACTCTGAGAGGCCTTGGCCAAAGCCATAATACAAACAGCTACCAGCCGTCAGATACTTAAATATGCCAGGCACTGTCCTCAGGGCTGCTACATGGTGATGAACAGAATCCTCGCAACAACCCCCAAGAAATAGGTGTGACTCTTACCTCCCCTTTCAAAATGGGGAAACTGAGGCAACAGAACAATTAAAAAATTATCCAAGGACATCTAGTTAGTAGGTAGCAGAGTGAGCACAAATCTAGGCAGTCTGGCTCCAAGTTCAGGCTTTGAATCACTGAGCTATAGGACCTCAGAATGCAGAGAAATCAGTGCTGATCCAAACAAAGTATTTGAGTGGGCTTCTTTTACAGCTCCCTACTAATAGGGGGATGGTCTTCAGTTTGTGCGGGTCAGCCATGACCTCCATTTTCTCTCCACAGATGCCCCTTGTTCCAACATGCTGGGGATGCTCTCAGGCCTCATCGCAGACTCCCAAATCTCCGCCTCCTCCACCCGCGAGTACCTCTGGAGCCCCAGCGCTGCCCGCCTGGTCAGCAGCCGCTCGGGCTGGTTCCCTCGAATCCCTCAGGCACAGCCAGGTGAGGAGTGGCTTCAGGTGGACCTGGGAGCACCCAAGACAGTGAAAGGCATCATCATCCAGGGAGCCCGTGGAGGAGACAGCATCACAGCAGTGGAAGCCAGGGCATTTGTGCGCAAGTTCAAAGTCTCCTACAGCCTAAACGGCAAGGACTGGGAATACATCCAGGACCCCAGAACCCAGCAGCCAAAGGTAGGCCATCCTGGGAGGACTCTGTAGCATTCCCCAAATAGGGAGGCTAAGTGGGATGCAAGGAGTTGGGGGTGCTGATTTCTCATCCAACAGCCATCATCAAACCTCTACAATCCAATAACGCAAATATTGAGAGATTACTTTGTGCCAGTCATAGTGCTTATTACCTTATTTAGATTCTCTTAACCCCACAGGCTCTCTACAAGAACAATCCTTCCATCGCTCCCATTTTAGAGACGATGAAACTGAGGCTTTATCTCCTAACCAGGGTCACACAGTTTACCTGTGTCCAAGCCCACGATTCAGAAACTATAAGTCTGACTCAAATCCAAACACCTAACCCTACTCACACTACCTGTTTATAAAGTTCAACACCCTTTACACCCTCTGTCAGATGAAGTTTCCTTGAAACTGGCCAGACACCTCAAGAGGATGTGGTTGCTGGAAGCCAAACTATAGAAACTAGGGATTTACTTCCAAAAATAACTGTTTTTTTTTTTTAAAACATTGCTGCACTCCTTTGTATTTTCCTAGTTTTAACTGCTTAGATCTTTCCTGCCCCTCATATTGAGACAAGGAAGAACAGAGAGAAATTTACTCCAGGCCAGAAGTTCAGGCCAGATAGCCCACCCACTGCCATCAGAGAGGCGAAGGCCGGGAGAGAACATCTTGCCTCTGTCCTGCTTCAGATTCATCTCTTGCTCTGATCCTCCCTTCTACGTTATCCTCATTTTCCTCAGAAGAGCAGGGCCCCTAAAAAAGAAAGTCATATTACATGTCTCTGGTCAGCTTCCTTTTTGAAGAAAATGTTTCCATTCTGAATGTCAAGGCCAGGCCTGGTTTGGAGGTTTTGCAATGCTGGTATCAGCTCCCAACTCACAATTTCAGAGGTTTAGAAAAACTCTGGGTTTGGTAACTGGAGACTTCAGTGGATGGAGAGGTTGAACCACAGGCTTCCCCAGGGACAGCTGACCCTGACTTTTCTTGTAAAAGGAGGTGATCTTGGCCAGGGTCAGAGCCTGGCCTCCCTGAGATAGTGCCCCACTTTGGGTACTTTTGACCTCGATCCCCCTGCAGCAAGGGTGGTCCAGCAACAGCACTCCTGGAGGTTACTCAGCTCCTCACCATCCCAACACCTGCCCTTCCCCTAGAGGAAGGACCCCAAGGTAGCTCTGGATTGGGGTCCCACCCAAACTCAACCAGGGCTGCCCACCTCCATCACTTTTCTCCATCAGGGTGCTAGGTGAGGTCTCTCTTGATAGAATTATCTCTGCTAAACAAAGGTTTGGGCAGTGTGTGACCAGAAGACATTGGAGTAGTCGTTTTGCCTTCAGGCTCTCAGTGAACTGCTGGTCAGCAGAGGCTTCCTAAGTCTAGACTTTCATGCATTAGAGAAAAGGCTATCTTTTCTCGCTGACCAAGTTCAGCTTCAAACCCATTTGGAGCCTTATTCTTTCCCGAATCCTCAGTGTCCAGCCCAGGAAAATAGACATCACTTGACAATTGCCACTTTTATCTGCTCCCCATTTTCTGTATTTATGGGTCCCTCATTTTCTCATAAATGAGGGAAGTACTTTGGTCTGAAAATGAAGCTCCTGTAAGTCATAATGTCCCGTGAACCAACCACAAACTGCCTTCGGGGTTGGTTGTGGTGGGGGAGAGGGTGAGCAGGGAGAGGTTCCACACAAGAAGATCTGATGGCTTGTCTCCCTGCAGCTGTTTGAAGGGAACATGCACTACGACACCCCCGACATCCGAAGGTTCGACCCTGTTCCAGCACAGTATGTGAGGGTGTACCCAGAGAGGTGGTCTCCAGCAGGCATTGGGATGCGGCTGGAGGTGCTAGGCTGTGACTGGACAGGTAAGGCTGCTTTCCTCTGCGGTCTCGCTTACATGGTTTTGTGACCCTGGTATCTCAGAATGCCTTGGAAGGGGGTGGCGAGGGCAGCCATCCCTGGCTCCACGAATTAGGAACCCTGCCACCCCATCCCCTGCCATGCGCTCAGACCACCTCTGGATTGGGACGGTTTCTCAAGGGATGTGTTTGCCTTTTTAAGGGATCATTTCAGTTCTCCAACCAGAGTCTCGCACAAACAAGTCATAACCACACACCTCCCACCCAAATTCAATTAGACCCTGCCTCTTCAGGCCAGAGGGCTGTGGCTGTTGATTTAGGGCA